GAGTTTATGTTTTTAACAAGTAAAGAAAGCTATGTAATTTTTTCAGAGGGGAGAGGGGCTGGCACTTGAACCTAGGGTCTCATACACATGCTAGGAAAGGACTATTCCACTGAGCTGCAATCATAGCGCTTAGTAGACTGTGGTAATGCAGATGGTTATTGGATCTCAGACTTTATAGGTTAGTCAATTATTTGTATTTCTCTTTGTGATCAGAAAGGTTTTAGATCATATAACACTGGAAATCTAATAAAATGTTATAGCCTTTGATGTCTTATATTAGGATGATTAAAACAATAAAACTGATTAGTTGCATTACATTATTCTAAAAATACCTTTCAATTAGTACAGCGCTTTCCTCTTCAAAGCTTGATGCTATACCTTTTTTATGGTAAGGTTGACATTTTTAATTCTTTATTGTCCATAGAATTAGCACCTACTGAGTATTTGTTAAACAAAACAATAATTGAGTTTTAGTCCTTCATAATGTAACCCAGTGTTTGGTGTCATTTAATTTATCTACTTTATTCACTAGGCATAGCTATTTAAAAATATTGTAACTATGGAAGTGTTTCCTACCAATGAGTTTATCCTAAAAACTATGTTGGAGTTTCGGTGGTTACTTATATGAAGGATTTACAATGCTTTAAATTCTATTATAATATATGACATGAAATGCATGTGTTATCTTCAAGTTTTAAGAGAGCCATGTATTTGCATATGTGTAAAGGTATGGTTCCCCCTACCCTAGAAAGGCAAGATTGTTGTTGTGATTTGAGCATGTCCATATTGCACATTGAAATTAATTTCTAGTTAATGTAATTTATGGTGAAAAGACTTATAAAAATGATTAACGCTAAAATTATCTAGCTCTGAAATTACCACTAAACATTTCTTTTATCCTTAAAATCCCCCTCCAACACATTAAATCACACTCCAAACATAATTAAAATAATAATTCTATGTAATTATTCTTTTATTGAAGTTGTTGAATTTCAATTGCTTAAAAAGTATTAGAGGACATAGTAAAAGTGGCAAAGAACTCCAAGCTTATCCCTTGAAATTTTAATACACTGGAGTTGAAAAGTGAAGAGGATTACAATTTGAATCCAGTTTTTTTTTTGGGGGGGGGTACCGGGGATCAAACTCGGGTCCTTCTGCATACAAGGCAGGCGGTGAAACCACTGAGCTAAATCCCCGGCCCTCAAATCCAGTTTTACCTTTTCTTTCCAACTTGTCAGATGGTCCTGACGTCAGCATAAGGGAGAAATAAAATTTGTAGAAAGTAGATGGACTGTAGTCTTCTCTTTTTCCACTTTTTTGACTGTAAGGAAAGAAGGGGATGTAGATTTTCTTGATAGATATTATTATAGAAATGTACAGGCTCATTACCCAGGAATGGTGGTGCATGCCTCCAATCCCAGTACTTGGGAGGCTGAAGCAGGAGGATAGCTATGAGTTTGAGGCCAGCCTGGACTACATAGTGAGTTCAAAGCCATTCTGAACTACATAGCGAGACCCTGTCTCAGAAGGACAAAACAACAACAAAACAAACAAAAAATATACAGGTTCACAAACCTCCCTTTATCACAAGCAAAGGTGGTGGTCAACAATCTAAGAAATCACTAAATACGATGATTTAGAGGAAAATGTTGTTTTTACAAAGGGAAAATCATATTCGAAATAGATGAAGTATCAAACCTTCTATGTATAGATTTAGTGAATTAAAAATTTGGGGGGATGGGGATATATCGCAGAGGTAGAACATATTCCTAGGATGCTCAAGACCCTCAGTTCACTCCCTAGTAACACTGAAAAATTAAAAGAAAATTTTAATTCAAGCATCCATATGTTAAATATTCTGACTAAATAGATCTAAGGTTTGGAAATGAAGAGTTTAGAAAGCAAAAATGGTTAAATTAATCACAGATGTAATTTATAATGTAAAACTGTCTTAAGACATTTTTAAGCTCTCAGAACAATAACTGCAGTAGCTACAAAAAGGTTTGTGATCAAAGATAGTAGTATATTCTATAATTGACAACTATATCATGGATTTTGTCAAATGCTATCAATGTTGAAGAACAATAACCCCGAAAAATATCTGATTTACAGTATTTTTAAATAAGTAAAGTTTCCCAACAAGAGAAAGCTATTTCCTAAAAAATATTAATTTTCCAAGATTTTGGTAGAATTAGGCAATTATTAGTTTTCTTTATTTACCATACTGTATAATGCAGGCTGCAAACTGGACCTCTAGCCATTTTCTGTTTAAACAATATTTTAAACATTTTAAAGTTAGTTTCTAATATCGAAAGTCCTGTGATTTTATATAAGTAACTGAATTTGTAGGTGTCATTAAAAATATCTACTTTATGAAAATGTAGGGCATGTCCTGCATAGCAATGATGACCCAGAGCCCAGTTGAAATCTCCTCTGTGAGAACTGTGTGCTGTGCTCTCCTGTTCACCCTAGCACTGATCCACCTATATTCACTTAGATTAATTTGCTGAAGCCCTGAAGACACTTGTGTTTGCCACAACTGTTAAACACATAGTCCACAAGAAATAAATGTTCATCTTACCTCAAAGACCAGGGAGCCATCTTCTATGAAAATCACTGGGATGTGTTGAAATGCTAAAAGTTATTAAGGATTGCATCATAAAGAATGAAAATGGAACAATGAAGGGGGAATAACTTTTATCTTAAAAAACAAGACATATTCATTCATATTCCCAATTTCCTTTGTCACCATTTCAGAATACCTTGAGTTGTTCGTATTTTGCAAGTCTAAGATTAAGAAATAAAATATGAGGATTTGGTGCAAATAACCTTAGTTTCCATACACAGTAAGCAATATTCTAACTTAAAAATACAAAATACCTTTGACTGAAGTTTGTTATAAGATGTCTAGGGTTAACTGTGTTAGATGCTTTCTTCTTCTAAAGACCTTTGCTTTTCACTAAATGCTTACTTATCTTTCTAATTTAACATAGTCCCACATTCTTCTTTGTAGTAATTTTGGGCTATCTGATAACATATAATGGAAAACATGTTAAGGTCTCTCACCAGTTCTTGTTGCATATTTCAAATGCTTAGAACAACAATTTTCAGAAGCTTTCATTAAGGTTAATTTAAAAACTACATTAAATACAAACAGATTTTCTCACAAACAAAATGCAATGTGTACTTAACAGACTTCTGCATGTTATATTTGATAAACTACCTCATATAAATGCAAATTTTGACTTTCTGCCAGAACCAGGTGGTACGGAAAATATTTCTATTAAACAAATAATGCTGGAAGAGCAAACTTCAAGCACTGGTATGTTGCGTAGGAAAGAGGATGTTTACAGTCAGGTTTGATATATATTTTCAGGTTGACCTTTTTTGTATACAGAGCCAAAGAAACATACTGAGGACTGAAACACGGTGATCAATTGTCTCAATTGTGAAAGAAGATTTAGGAAAGTGTACTGGGGGAAAGATTTTACCTATTCAGAGAAATATCCAAATATTTTTTCCTGTTTGGTATGATTATTTGATAGTATCATCCCATTTTCTTTGTTAGTATCTGAAAGCTTTCATTTCAATCACTTAGTAAAAGTCAACAAGGAAAGCTAAATAATGCAGGATGATCCCAAATGTTGTCCATACGAATCAACTGTTTTGAACTCTCATTAGACAAAATCAGCACATAAAAGTAAACAAAATACCTCCCCCAAAATGATAATCTAAGTCTTATTATGAGAGAAAACATTAGCCAAACTGAAATGAAAGAGCATGATACAAAATCTCTGAGGAGTATTCCTCAAACTTGTCATGGTCCTCAAAACCAAGAAACTTTTAGAACATTTATAAGCCAGAAGAGAGTGTGAAGACACAAAGACTAAATGACATGTAGTGTTTTGAAAGGGACCTTCAAGTTTAAAAAAAAAAAAAAAGGACATGAAGCCCAAATAGAGTGTGGAGTTTAGTTAATAGTAATACACCAATCATTGGGCCATTCTGACAAATATACAATGTGCAAAGGAGATGTTAATTATAAACTGGTGTGAGATATATGGGAACTTTGCAATTTTTCTGTCAATCTGAAACCTTACTCCCCCAAAATGCATATAAATTAAAAGAAAACACTGGAGATAAATGGAGGATATTTTACTTGGCCTGAAGATACATGTTGATGCTTAAGGGCTAGATTCATAATTACTCTTAAGGATAAGCTCTTGTAATTGCTCTGTCAGAGAGTGACAAATGTATGCAAACTATATGAACTATTTAGTCATGCCTATGAAACATTTATGGTGTTCACCTGAAGATTAAGTTTGCCATCCCAAGAACCACTGTTGCCTATGTTAGATGCAATGGGAAAATCTGTGATCTTGATCTTATTAGTATTACTGGTAGTTTCTAAAATTTAGACTTAATGCCCTTACTATGATCCCTGTGGTTATGTGCTATACTTGTGTAGGATGATAATGAAGTTGGTCTGATGGCTCTAGAGAAATGTTTGATTTTGGACAAGGTAGTCCTATTGAAGAAAGCTGTATTCATTTAAAAACTACATATTGTTAATAATATGAGAAAATATTCTATATGAACATATTCAAAATTTGGAACAGCATAATAATTTTAAGGTTAGTTATAATACATTAACTATTAAAAATATTAATTCTGAACACCCCAGGCAGGCACACCGTCTGCCAGTTTGGCCTTGTGGTCAGACGCGGGTAGCTGTGCCCTGCTCCGTCCAGCTTGGCCCGCCCACTTGAATCCAGGAGACCGTGACGACCCCCCACGCAGGCCCCATAGGCCTCTGGCTTGTGTTACAGGCCACAGGGCGCATGTAACAACAACAACCACCCCCCACCCTCCCCCGCCTCTGGCCTCTTGGCTGTGCAGCTACCCGGTTCCACACTACAGAGGCACAGGGGGACATAAAGACCATTGTCCTGAGTTGCAGAGGTCAATAGCAGAGACAGGGCTTCCTTCAGGGTCCCTGATGAAAGCTGAAGCCCACTGGAAAAGTGAAGATACTCTCTGCAATATAGGCACACCAGACCACCGTACTTGGTAAGTTGGAGGGATCATCACCTCCCATTTGATCCTGGACTATTTTAAGGGGAAAGACAGCTGGAACCTGTAGTAGAGCCTTTCTGAGTTCGGCCCTGCGGGAGGGCGGGGAGCTCAATTTGGGACTTGCAGCCGGAAGGCTGTCTGAATCTCACGGGTCTGTGACTGGCTTACTGGGACTCATTGACTTATAACTGACAGTACCAAAAACAAAATGAAAAGACATTTGAGCAAGTCACAAACCCGGGCTTCCACCCCACAAAAGGCAATTTCTGGGGAAAACAAGGTGGAAAAGTCTGATAATCAACCACTGGACACCCTGAACTGATAGCACAGGAAGTAACAAAACAGATGAATGAGTCTCTAGAAAAATTCAAAGCAGAAATAATCTCCCAGATAACTACAGAGATGGTGAGCAGACTGAAAGACATAATTGGAGGCTCTAGAACAGAAACAGATAAAAAAAATAGATGAGCTCAGAAATATGCTGGAAGCCATGAATGCCCAGCATAAGAAAGAAATAGAAACCATGATCACCCAATATAAGAAAAAAATGGAATCAATGAAACAGATTCAAACAGATATTCAGGAGATTAAAAACTCCATTGTAAGCATGCATAGCAGATTGAGGGAATCTGAAGATAGAAAATCAGATACAGAAGACAGGATTGCGGTTAGAAACCATGAAAACAAAGATTTCTTAAAAATAGTAAGGGATGGGGCCGGGGATTTAGCTCGGTGGTTTCATCACCTGCTGAGCAAGTGCAAGGACCCGAGTTTGATCCCCGGTACCAAAAACAAAAAACAAACAAAAAATAGTAAGGGACTACGAGAAATCAATCCAGCAGCTGCTAGACGATTCAAAGAAGAATAACATAAGACTGATAGGAGTCAACGAAAAAACAGGAGAAAAATACAATTAACATAAAAAGTGTTCACAGAAGTAATAGTAGAAAACTTCCCAGTCAGAGGTGGAGAATTGGACATTTAGACAAGTGAGGCATATAGAACTCCAATTATCCATGATCAAAAAAAATCTATGCCTAGACACATAATAATTAGGATCCTAAAAACCCAACAGAAGAACAAAATCCTACAGGCAGTTAGAGAAAAGAAACAAATCACCTATAAAGGAAAGCCTATCAGAATCACGATAGACTTTTCTTTTCTTTCCTTTTTTTTTTTTTTCTTCTTTTGGTGCCTGGGATCGAACTCGGGTCCTTGTGCTTGGAGAGCAGGCTGTGGAACCACTGAGCTAAATCCACAGCCCATGGCAGATTTTTCAACACAAACCCTCAAGTCAAGGAGAGCGTGGAGTCAAGTATTTCAAGCGCTAAAAGAAAGTAACTTCCAAAAAAATAAAAAATTTAATAAATAAATAAATAAGAAAGTAATTTTCAACCTAGATTGTTGTATCCTGAAAAGTTATCGTTCAAAATCGATAGGGAAATTAGATGCTTTCACGACAAAGAACACCTGAGAAAAATATTAGTTCTAAAAAAATTATATACACACATATATATAGAAAGGATGTTGGTGTTGATGAAAATTGCTTTTTTTTTTAAACGCTTCAATTTTAAGTGCTGGATTTAGAACTGTATATTCCCTCTGTGAGTTTGGTATTACCAATGAGACTTAGAATAAGTAACTTTCCCAAGTACTCACATATTTTAAATAAAACAGTAACATTCCTCTTATTAATTACTTGTGATAACAGCTGTCAGCATCCCTCTTAAATTTTCCTGTCAAGTCCTCCAGGTCTTTATCTTCTTGGCATTGTTTCCTGATTGTCCCTTCAGATTGATGGTTCATATTCATGTCTCAGATATAATACGTGATAAAGCTGAAGTTTTAAGCTAAGTCCATCTATCTGCAAAGTCAGTGAACTTAAACCAGAGAATTAGCATGCTCACAGTACAGCATTATCTGCATAATACTTTTGCTTTCAAATAATTCTAGAATAGTTTCTAAGCTTAATTAGTCAACTATTAAAATTATTGTATTTGCCTTTAGAATATTAATAAATTAAAGCATTTTATATATATTTGAAATTGTTAAAGGATTTAGAAAATGTTTTCTTGGTTTTAATAGACATAATATAGTGGTACATATTTAATAGGGTATAGTGTGTTATTTTAATATCTATATGCAACATGTAATGACCAGATAATGGCAACTAGTACCTTCAAGTCTCAAACATTTTTCAACTTTTTGTGTTGGAAATATTTAAAATCCTCTCTGCTAGTGATTTTGAAATATATAATTAAATTTTTTTTTTACCATATTTACCCTACTGGACTATAAAACATCAGCAGTTATTCTCCCAGTCCAGCTGAACCCTATTTCCCTAGCCAACCTCTCTACCTTCCAACTATAAGTTTCCCAACCTTTTCTCTCAATTCTTCTCTCTACTTCTAGGAGATTAACTGTTTAAGTTTCCACATATATGAGATCATGCAGCATCTGTCTTTCTGTGCCTGACTTACTGAAGGAGTTTTGACCAAAATACCTACTACAAAAATATATTTTTTAAAAGCATGTATAATTGAGTTATCCTTTTGTTGAAATATCTATTATCTTCAAAATATAAATATTTATATATATTAACTTCATAATGTAAACTTTTATAGGAATTTTTAAAGTTCATCAAGAACAGAGAAAAAAGTCTGGAGATGAAACTTTGAGACACTTTGAAGAATAAACTTACCCAAGATGGAGCAGTAGTTGTTGATGTTGTTCTCTTTTGTTTAGTATAAGATCCTAGATTTTCACTTCTTTACAAATAGTTAATGTTTTTGTGAGAAACATAGAACACTTCTCTTGCTGGAGAAGTCAGATTAGACTAGCTGAAATATTTGGAAGTTTCTTAAGACCTCTGATCTAATATGTTATTTTTACTAACCTGAGACTAACATTACTCACAGAAAATAACTTAATAATTGTCTCTAATGACAACATCAGACTGAATACACAGCTTTTATGAGCCAATCAGTTTGAATAAAATAATTCTCATTAATATTATAACATACTTAAATTTATTTCCTTTTAGAATCAAAAAACAGCCAAGGTTTTTAGAGGTCATAAACTCTCAGAAGGATATCTTTGCTCTGTGATTGAAATGGGAACAGCAGTCATTGTTTCCTGAGAAATCCATGTCTTTAGATAGTTACTAAGTTACGATATACATATAGATAGCACAACTGATACGCTATTCCAAGGGGAAGCTAAATCTCAAAATTATGGATTCTTTTATTAATTCTTTATAACAAACATTTCTCTGAATCCTTGAGAGAATTCAAAGGTCAGAAAAGGGTTTGATTATATAAAGTATGATTTTAATGGTAGCTTAATAAAATCATGTGTACTCGAATATATTTAAAGTGAAGACGCCTGACAAATGGCCTTGACTTTATAACAAAATCAATATTTGCCTTGCTAAGTTGAGTAAATTCATTTCTCAAAGTTTATTTAGTATCAAAAGAACAAAATTCAAAGAATATGCAAAGCCAGAGACTTCCAAAATTGAATATGAAGTGAAACATTATCAAAAACTGTATTAAGCTGGTCCAGATTAGTTATTATTTAAAGCAGATAGTCAAAAATATTCAGCTTTTAAGGTAAAGTTCTTATATATTTTTATATGAGTGACTTCAAATTTAATACTATTATTTCTTTATATTTTTTCCCCAAGGAAAATTTCAGATTTTGAGCCAAGTATGGAATTATATGGTTGGAAGTTACATAATACAGACCTTCAGAGTGTTTTATATTATGTCTGGAAGACAGAGCATTAGATTTCACAGAGAAAGCCATAGAGAAGCCACATTGTTGAAATTTCTGATCTACTTGAAATGCTTAGGTTTGAATGACAAACCCAAGAGCTAAATTTACAAAACAATTAAATTTGCCTTTTTTCACCCTTGATGCCCCAAAATGCTAGAATTTGCACTTTTAAAGAGACAAAATAAATTCTCTCTTCCTTCCTTACAAAACCTTAAACTTACAAATGTTTCTCACCTACATTTAAATGCACTCAGGGGCTTTGCAGGCCTGAGAAAAATGCAGTGCCTTGGAGAAAGGTGCTCCCAGCTCAGTCATCCTATTTATCTATCTGCCCAGCTCCAGTTCTTTCCCACACTCAGGAATACAAAGAAACCTTCCAGGGCCATCTGTAAAATATGTAGCATCACTGTGAAAAGAAGTTTATGTCATTACTTTTTAACACATTATATTTATTTCCCAAAGAAAAGAGTCATTTTTAAAGACAAGTTGAGGGGGGATAAACTCATGACAATTGAGGGAGAGGTTTGCCATTTAGGGCAAAAACCATATGTAAATTATTTGTATGAACGTACCTATATTCCCAACAAGAGCAAATGTACAAACATCGAGCTATTGTGCAAAGTGTCTTTTCTTCAAATGCTAGAAATTTCAAAAAATATAATTTCAAAAAAAGAAAATAAATGCAGACTTTTCTACCCCAAAGCATAGGAATCAGATACTAGAATTTGCCCCTTAAAAATGTCAACTTGATCTTAGCTACAAGATTCTGATAAACATATATAAAATAATACCTAGGAATATATAGTACTAGTATTATACATAATGTTATTTATCAGTTCTATTTTAGTGATAGTATTATGGTGTGTAACCTCAAAAAAGCAACCTGGATTGAAAAAGGAAGATAGCACATAGGGAAGGTCAATGGTATGTCAGGCATTGAGACTGGCATCCTAATTATGCACTGGGAGTATAGAGGTCAGAGTGATCAGCTGACCTCATGGAAGATCATGGTAATGACAAATTAATTTCTGGAGATAAACAAAGAAATGGGGGGAAGATAAATGTGATAGGTACTGGTAAGACATAATTCTTTGCCTCTATCAGGACCATGGATGGTTCAGCCAAATCTGTATTTTAGGCGATAGTTGTAGTGGAAAGCTCACATTGCCTTTGAAGATTGAAAGGATAATGTCTCAGAAAGCATCAAGGATTAGTGT